TCCTCGGGGGCTGTTTTCAAAATCGGCGACCGACGTCTCCCTCTTCATAGGGTCTCCGTCAAGATACAAACCAGGAGTCCGGTTGGCCTGTCAGTCAACAAGAAAGTGGTAAACGTTAATGCAATGGGGACAAATCATGTCGTCGAGATCCGTTGCCGTGAACGCCGGTTCCTGGACGCCAGATGTAGAGGTTACAACAGCAGTAGAGAGTTCGTTGGATCACTTGACGTCTACAGTCGCCTGCAGATGGACACGAACATGACCACTGTGTAACACCGTGTGTTCGAACGCCACATGTGACTAAATTGCCTGCCTTGTGTCCAGCTTATGCGGTTCGTCCATACGAGGTGGCAGCCAAACCCTCCCGTTGCAGTACATGTCGCCTTGTACGCTACAAGTAGCCAACGACCGTAGTTGATTTTTAATACCAAAGTATGCATGCAGAACTTAGACACATTTACTTGGTGCATACCCTTTTGCCGACGGTTTTGAGAAACCTTTCAAGATCGGATGCTGTCTGAAGGAAGGTCGGTCAAGGATTAGCATCGGGTGGCGACTACAGCAAAATTGCTAAGAGAACGGACAGCGAAACCATCGTTTGATCGCTGCGGCATCGTCGGCCCCCACGCACGGAGTGTGTGGACGGATGAAGCCTTGGAGGGCGATTTTAGGTCGATTACGCACTCGGACTCTGACTGCGTCACAACGTGGCTCGTGAGAGGGGCCAATTTTCACCTCGTTGTCGCCGTCAACTTGTCGGTACCGAACACAACGGAGACTTGATATCCGCCGGTTGCGCCGAAACTTCGACGCTCTAGCACCCCACAGTCGACTAAAAGACCTGTGTAGACTAATTACTCGCTGGTGATCGAGTGATTAAAACAACTTAAGATGGCAAAAACTCCGACGACGCTCGATCCGAGAAGGCCTCTTTCGTGACCCTACAGTAACAGTATCGGGTCTCACGAATTGTTTACGGTAAATCTTGGTCGATTTGTGAGCGCGAACGAAAACAACCAATTAACCCCTTAGTTCCTTTATGTTGGATCTTCCAACATAAGGGGTGTATACCCTAACCCACTTCTGTTGCACCTTTTATTTTATGTTCGAGGTCCAACATAAGCAAATCTTATAACTGAATTTTGTATGGGGCAACGGTCCATATCCCCCCTTTCCCCGCTATAGTGAAATGAAGTCATTGATATGAGTGTAAAACGGTCACATGCACAGGCTTAGGTTTAGTTTTATTGAATGAGTTAGAAAAGGGAGGTACACACCCACTATCGAGCGAGTGGCCACCAGCCACCAACTGCCTCACTCTTCAAAACGACGGCCGAGAGCAACATAATTGCGCCAACACCCAAGACACCGCGCCACCACCTCACCGAGCAAGAAAGTCGCCTCTGTCGCGAGGCTCTGTTAAGTGAGCGTCACAAGCGCCGCATTCGACGGACAGAGCAGAAGAGCGGCAGCGATGGAGCAGGGCAGACGAAGGCGAAGAAGGCGACAAGGAAGAAGGCTGCCAAGCGCACAGCGGCAGATATGGAGGTGGCGCAGTACAAGGGTCTGTATATTCCTTCAGCAAGCGCGCAGCTTGCAGACACGGCGGGCGAAAAAGAGGGCTCGACGATTGCTGAAGTGAAGGAGACCATGGTCCTAGAGACAACTGCGATAGCGGTTGCGATGTAGGTGGAAGAATGTCAGATGCACAGGCTTAGGTTTAGTTTTATTGAATGAGTTAGAAAAGGGAGGTACACACCCACTATCGAGCGAGTGGCCACCAGCCACCAACTGCCTCACTCTTCAAAACGACGGCCCGAGAGCAACATAATTGCGCCAACACCCAAGACACCGCGCCGCCACCCTCACCGAGCAAGAAAGTCGCCTCTGTCGCGAGGCTCTGTTAAGTGAGCGTCACGAGCGCCGCATTCGACGGACAGAGCAGAAGAGCGGCAGCGATGGAGCAGGGCAGACGAAGGCGAAGAAGGCGACAAGGAAGAAGGCTGCCAAGCGCACAGCGGCAGATATGGAGGTGGCGCAGTACAAGGGTCTGTATATTCCTTCAGCAAGCGCGCAGCTTGCAGACACGGCGGGCGAAAAAGAGGGCTCGACGATTGCTGAAGTGAAGGAGACCATGGTCCTAGAGACAACTGCGATAGCGGTTGCGATGTAGGTGGAAGAAGACCACGAGACGGCGGTGACAGAAGTCGTCGCGGACATGGTTTTGAGCATTGAGACTGCGCTGCCTGCCCAACAGTCTGGTATCACGTTTGCTACTACTGATTTCAGTGCTGAAAAACGAAAGCGTAGTATGCAAGTGCCTATAAGAGAGCATCGCCGCGCTCTCCTACAAGAAGACAGCTATGACGACGATGACAAGTTGTGTTTTGTTCGTTTATCCAACTCGAAGGATTGTAGCAGACAACACATTTAACATAATATCCGACATTATTCATGTATGGCGAACAGAGAAGGCAAGGTGACGAAGACGTTAGTGCTTACGAAGCAGACGTTGTGCACGGTGTATCTGCGTGTGTCATTGACACAGGCCCTAACTTTATGGACGAAGGAGCTGACGAATGCTCAGGGCTCAGCTCCGATGAGGACCCAGAGCTTCGTGAGGAACCTGAAGACGAAGAGGATGCTGATGACGATAGTTGGGACGGTGATTGGGACATTGGAGAGCTGACAGATGAAGATTCGGACCACGAGCTCGAGGAGCTTCCTAGCACGGTGTGGTTGTCCGCAGCGAAGAACGCACCCCTGATCACTGCAATGCGTACCGATGGCTGGGAATATGGTACGTTATGTTGGCCGAATCCACATAATCCTTTCGTTTTGTTTCTGACTTAACATAAATGCTAATGGCAACTTTGCTTAGTTGGCGCAATGTTGGAGGACGACAAACTTTTCATGATCTTAAGTTGCTAAAATGACAAACATCGCTGGTTGCACAGCTTTGTTTAGTTGGCGTAATGTTGCAGGACATCAAACACTAGCTGCTATAATGACAAACATCGCTGGTTGCACAACTTTGTTTAGTTGGCGTAATGTTGCAGGACGTCAAACTTAACCTGCTATAATGACAAACATCGCTGGTTGCACAACTTTGCTGAAGTGAGCGTAAGACTGCAAGATGACAAAATTCCGAACACAGTACTTAGCACTAGGTTAAATCTATCAAGAGAGCAGCTTTTTTCCAGCTCAGCTTGAATGTAAATTGAGCTTTGGATAAAATCCCGAGAACATTGAAAAATGAGACTGCGCAAAACAAAATGATGCTTACGAACCATTTAGAGTTATCAAGATAATCGAGCTTAACCCCTTAGTTCCCGGCCTAAAATATGAGGGTATATTTTGACCTCGTCCCATATACATATATAAAGGGATTTGTATGGGTTTTCAAATAAGTCCGGATATCTTGGCGCGGGTTCGGGGTGGTAGCAATGACATGCCAGTGTGTATAGTTTGGATTCTCCAACATAAAGGAGGGTTTATGTAGTACATTGAGACGATCATATGCGACTATGCTGTATAAAAAAACATAAGATATGCACTGTTTGTTGATTAGTCTATCTTTGTTTTGTTGCATACGTCCAGCAGCGGTGAGTTCATTTATTATAACCAATAACAAGAACGATCAAGTGTTGTATCAATTGATTGCTCCTTGCATAGACATTTACGACCTCTCGTAGACGGCGCAACCACTACGCCTCCTCCTCCACCGCTTCATCTTCTTCTTGTCGCTCGACTCCCCAGCAGCAGCATCAGCACTTGCTCCGCTCTCGTCTACCTGCTGCCTGCGTCTCCGCTTCTTGCCTGGGCCGCGACGCTGGCGGTCGTTCACGTGTCCTGTGCTCTTGCAGTAGGTCGCTCGGAATGTCGTTGCCGCTGTTCCAAGCTGCATGCCAAATGCTGAAGCACGTACTGACCCTGCCTTCACGCGGAACGTTGCATAGGTATTTACTAGATCAAATCGAGCTAGTCAAAGGTTATGGTAAGGGTACCAAGCGAGCTACGCACCGTTTGTTTCCGTTCGAGCACTCCGGGCAGAAGTGTTTCGTAAACTTGCGAGGCTTGACCTTGTAGATGGCGCAGACTTTGCATGATCGGTGGCG